AATTTCTGCCAGGGAAATCAGTGACCAGAAAAAAAGTGGCAATCTTTTCTTTATGATCAGATAACTCTAAGCATAATAAACTATCATTATGTCTTCCTTTTGTATGTGACTTGGAACTGAGAACTGGTTTTACAAACTTTTGCCAAATGACCCCACATTTTTTACTGTAGAAAAACCAGAAACCTGTCAGGTAGCTATTATGCAAGACCAGAGGTTCTCTGACAGTGTCACGGCAGCCGCGGCACTAACTCTGGATTAAAACGATTATCCACTCAGCAAACCCTTACTAGGCACCGACCTTATCCTGGGCGCCACGCAGAGCACTGGGGAGTCAACGTGGGGCCACAACATGGCTTTTGTCCTATAAAGTCTGAGCGATGCCCTAGCCGGTTTGGCTCAGTGGATAGAGCATCGGCCTGTGGACTGGAAGACCCTGGGTTTGATTCCAGTCAAGGGCTCGATTGCAGGCTCAATCCCTGACACTGGTTGGGTTGCATGCGGGAGGCAACCAATTGATGATGTCTCACATCGATGCTTCTCTCTCTGTCTCTCCCTCTCCCTTCCACTCTCTCTAAAAAAATCAATGCAAAAATATCCTCTGGTGAGGATTAACAACAACAAAAAGAAGGCTGGTGTTCTTGGAGAATCGACAGATCACAAGAAGTGTGTGGGGGTTTTTTCTGCCACATGTAGCCAACTACCTGCGCCCAGAGAGGAGAGGGGATCACGCCTGCTAAACGGTAGGAGCCAAGTGGTCTTCCTCTGCTCACAGGAGAATATTTCCATCTCTATTCCGCTGCCGAGAACAGACTCAGAGCATGAATTTCACGCCTACATTTCGATGCACCTCAATGATAAAAATATTAGAAATAAACATTTAAAAACAAACTAACAGCAGATTTTGTTTGTCTATTCTTTAAGTCGTGCACGGTCCGTATCTGGCTGTGGTGCATCTATAAGAGGTGCGTTTCTAACAAGTGCGACTCCCTTTCCTGAGGACCGCCAGCTGTCTGTCTGGAAGCAAGCGCGTTGGCCGTCCTGCCTTCCACCCCGAGCAGAGTGATTGTAAAATTATGCTCTCCTTCTGCACCTGCTTTGTTCTCTCCATCTCCCCTCTCACAGCGCCGCCCGTTGTAAAGCCCCACGTAGGAGTGGGAAGAACGAGTGATGGTTTGTGCTGAACCGTGGAAGTGTTAGTCTATTGTCAGCTTCAGCACTCCCACCGAGCAAGGTGTGACCTACAACATCTTCCCGGATTTTCTGCCTTTTTTCCTTTGACTAATGGAAACAAAGCTTTTCCCAAGGAGGCCAAATCCAGCCCCCCATCCAAGTCTTAATTGACAACACAAAGCACAACCACTGGGCCCTGGACAATTTCCAGGGGATTTTGTTCTTCAGCACTGGGCTGAGCCCCCAGGAAAGAAAACAAACAGACCCATCCACACACCACAGATGCTCCAACCCGGCTAATTTGGAACTCCGATGACAGGAACATTTCTACACGGTTGTAAACATATTTGAAGTGCTTGGAAGTTGTTTTAAATCCTAATATTTACAATGTCCGTCTTTGTTTTTTCTTCTTCTTTGTTTTCAAAATTCTCTCCTAATGAGAGACTATAGGAACTTTACAAACATGGAGTAACCATCAGATGCTACTGTTTGGGTTTCCAACTTCCAAATGATGGGAACGCACATCCACAGAAGCCCATAAAAGCCAGAGAAAAAACATAAGTGAATCCCTACACTCTACACAGAAACCAAGAGTCTTGGACACTCCATCTTAGAAAACTATGTATTTCTAATTCACAGCTAGATAATAACTTTACTTATATTTTTTTATTTTTAAGCTCTGAAAAGAATGTCTTTTAAGTTCCAAGTATATAAAAGAGGCATAAATTATAAAATTATATTTTCTTCAAGAAAAAAGGGAATCTCATTTTCTCCCCCATTAACTATTTGCTCCTTTAAAAAGTCAATCTAAAAATTAAACAACTCACTCTTAAACAACCAATGGGTCAAAGAAGACATTAGTATAGAATTTAGAAAATATCTGCAGACAAATAGAAATAAAAACAAAACATACTAAAACTTATGGGATGCGAAAAAGCAGTATTAAGAGGGAAATCTATAGCCATAAACACATACACTAAAAAGAAAAAGGATCTCAAATCAACAACCTAATTTTAAACCACAAGCAACTAGGAACAGAAAAACACAAAAGTTAGCAAAAGTAAGGAGATAATAAAGAGTACAGCAGAGATAAATAAAATAGAGAAGAAAAACAAAAAAAATCAGTGAAATCAATAATTTTTTTAAAAAGTTCAACAAACTTGACAAATCCTCAGCTTGACTAAGGAAGAGAAGACACAACTAAAATTAGAAATAAAAGTTGTTACAGAAAAAAGATTATAAGAGACTACTATGAACAAATATATGCCAACAAACTGATAATCTAGAGGAAATGGATAAATTCTTCAATACATGCAACCTACCAAGACTGAATCAGAAGCAAATAAAAATTCTGAACACATCTATGATTGGACGGACATTGAAGCAGTAATCAAAACTGTCCCAACAAACAAAAGCCCAGGGCCAGATGGCCTCACTAGAGAATTCTACCAAATATTTAAAGAGGAATTAATACCAATCCTCTTCAAACTCTTCCAAAGAACTGAGGGGGGCGGGGAGGACACACTTCCAATTTCATCCTATGAGGGCAGCATTATTCTGATACCAAAACCAGACAAAGACACAACAAGAAAAACTACACAGACCGATATTCCTGATGAACATTGATGCAAAAATCCTCAACAAAATAAGACCAAACTGAATTGAACAGTACATAAAAATAATTATATATACCATGACCAAGTGGGATTCACATTTGGAAAGCAGGAATTGGCATATGAAAAGCAATCAATGTAATACACAACATTAACAGAATGAAGGACAAATAACAAATGTTTGTCTTGATGCAGAAAAAGTACTTGACAAAATTCAACATCCTTTCATATTAGAAATACTCAACAAGCTAGAATAGAAGGAAAATACCGTAACATAGTAAAAGCAATCTATGAGCAGCCCACAGCTCACGCCATATTCAGTGGTGAAAGACTAAAAGCTTTTCTTCTGAGAACAGGACAAAGCAAGGATACCCACTGTCCCCACTGCTACTCAACATAGCACTGGAGGTCCTCCCAGTGCGATTAGACAAGAAAAACAAATAAAAGGCATCTAAATTAGAAAGGAAGACATAAAGTTACCTGTTTGCAGAGAACATAATCTTACATGTAAAGAACACTAAAGATTCCACACACAAACAATTTAAAACTAATAAACAATTTCAGCAAAGTTACAGATAGAAAAATCAACACACAAAAATCAGTTGCATGTCTATACACTAACAACAGCTAATCCAAAAAGGAAATTAAGAAAACAATTCTATTTGTTATAGCATCAAAAAGAATAAAATACTTAAGAAAAATTTAACCAAGGAGGTGAAAGACTTGTCCAAAAAAACTACATGGGAGGAGATAGAAGAGGGTAAAGGGGGGATAAACAGTGATGGAAGGAGACTTGGAGTGGTGGACACACAACTCAATATACAGATGATGGATTATAGAATTATACACCTGAAACCTATATAATTTTATTAACCAATATCACCCTAATAAATTCAATTAAAAATAAAGAAAACGACAAAACATCGCTAAAAAAATGAAAAATGATAAATGGAAGCACATTCCATATTCATGGATTGGAACTCTTACTACTGTTAAGATGTCTATCCTACCCAAAGTAATCTATAGAGTCAGTATAATCCCTATCAAAATCTCAATGGCATTTTTTTGGTAAAAACAGAAAAAAAATTGTAAAATTCATAAGAAATCTCAGGGGACCCCAACTAGCCAAAATAAACTTGAAAAGGAACAAAGTTAGAGGCCTCACACTTCCTGATTTCAAAACATACTGCAAAATAACAGTAATCAAACTGCTGTGGTGTCTTTATTGGCATAAAGACAGATAATACAGACCAATGGAATCGAACAGAGAGCTCAGAAATAAACCGTTGCACATACGGCCAAATGACTTTTGGCAAAGATGCCAGGACTACACAACGGGGAAAGGACAGTCTTTTCAACAAATGGTACATGGAAAATTGAATATCTACATGCAGAAGAATAAAGGTGGACTGTAACATGAAGGTTGTGGTAACCTGAATTTTGCCATGTGCCAAGTGTAGGCCTGGGAACAGCATTTTCTTTTGTACCTGGGTTATACCCCCATTTTTTTTTTCAAAAGAGAATTGTAAGTAAAAAATACAAGACGGTACAGTGTAGTTTTAGCTAATAGGCCTTTCAAAGGCACTATGATTAAATTTTACAGGGACGTGAAATATGGCAGAGGGAATAGATCAATAACATTGTAATAATTATGTACGGAACCAGCTGGGTATTGGACTTACCAGGGGAACATTTTGTAAATGGTATAAATGCCTAACTGCTATGCTGTACACCTGAAACTAATATAAAATAATATAGAAATGTCAATGTAATTGAAAAAGTAAATAAATAAATAGCAAAAAATGTGATTAAATTTTAAAAAGCAGAATAATAAATCTATATGATTTCTATTATGGCAACACACCAAATATTATATTTTTACAAGCTTTAATCAGAGGAGAAATCGTAAAGTGTCATTTAAGCACAGAAATACATTTTTTTAAAAATAGCCTCTTTTTAAAAATATTTTTTTATTGATTTCAGAGTGGAAGGGAGAGGGAGAGATAGATAGAAACATCAATGATGACAAAGAATCACTGATTAGCTGCCTCCTGTATGCCCCCTACTGGGGATCGAGCCTGCCCTTGACTGGAATCGAACCTTTAGTCCACAGGCCCACACTCTATCCACTGAGCCAAACTAGCTAGGGCAGGAATACATATTTAAACATCTGAGATGGATTTCTTTTAGACTTCCTTTAAGTCACTTTGTGCCTACCTTTTGGTTATTGCCGGCATAGCAGTTTCTTTCCTGGTCCCGGAGGGGGACGGCAGAGAGCCACTAGGTTTCTTTGGTAACACGGTGCCGTTGTTGACGGTGGTTCTTAAAGGCAAGGTCTGCACCAGGGGTCTTGCTGTAAGACAAGCAGAAAAGGAAATCAGAACGTGCCCCTTGTCAAGGTACCTCTTTAAGATCCGTAGAAAGGCTTCAATGTTTACCAGTGCTAGCAAAAATGAACGAAGGTGCAAAGGCAACTAACTCAATGGGGATTTTTATCAAGTGGTGCTGGAGCACAGAACCTAGATAGCACCCTCACACCTCATTCAGAAACTACCTCACAATGGACCACAGATCTAAGTGTCAAATGCAAAGCGATAAAACTTCTAGATGAAAACATGGGAGAAATGGGACCTGGGTTTGGAGATGACTTTTTTTTTTAGATACAACACCAAAAGGGCAATCCATAAAGAAAAAATTAATAGCTTGGACTTCATTAACATTATAAAAATTTTTGCTCTGCGAAAGACATTGTGAAGAGGATAAAAAGAGAAGTCATAGCCTGGGAGAAAATATTTGCAAATCACATGGCTGATAAAGGATTTGTACACAGAATATTAAAAAAAAAACACACAAAAAAAACCTCTAAAAACTCAACAGTAAGCAAACAAACAGCCCATTAAAAAAAAAGGCAAAAGATCCGAACAGACCCCTCACCAAAGAAGATACACAGATGGCAAATAAGCATATGAAAAGATGCTCAGCATCTTTTGTCACCAGGGAAATGCAAATTAAAACAGTAATGAGCTATCTCTATACACCTATTAGGATGGCTATCCTCCAGAAAGCAGACAAAACACCAACTGCTGGGCAGGGCCCAGCCACAGGAATTCATGCCTTGCTGGTGGGATGCGAAAGTGTAGTCACTCTGGAAGACAGTTTGGCAGCTGCTATACATAGTCTGACCATACAATCCAGCAATTGAGTGACACGAGGTATTTTCCCAATGATTGGAAAACTTCCGTCTATATAAACCTGCATTTAATATTTATAGCAGCTTTATCCATAACTGTCAACAACCGGAAGCAACCAAGATATCCTTCCACTGGTGAGTGGACAAACTCTGGTACGTCCATACAGTGGAATGTGACTCGGCAAAAAGGGCAATGACCCAATCCATACGACAACATGGATGAGCCCTATTTCTATGTTGCTAAGTGAAAGGAGCCAGTCTGAAAGGCTACATACTGTAGCCTCCCATGACAGTCTATAAAAGGCAAAACTATAGGGACCAAGACCAGATCAGAGGTTGCCAGAGTTTAGCGGCGATAGCGGTGGCGGGAGGGGTTGACCAGGCACAGCATCGGAGACTTTTTAGGGTGGTCAAACTCTTCTGAACACTACTGTGGTGGTGGAATGTGACACTATGCATTTGTCAAAGCCTAGAGTGAACTTGAATGTATGCAAATAAAGTCAATTAGGAGATGGGGGAACCACAGGATGGGATGCAGATTGTGACAAAAGAATCAAACTTACTACAAAGATATGCTCTAGCCTAGGGGTGGGCAAACTTTTTGACTCGAGGGCCACAATGGGTTCTTAAACTGGACCGGAGGGCCGGAACAAAAGCATGGATGGAGTGTTTGTGTGAACTAATATAAATTCAAAGTAAACATCATTACATAAAAGGGTACGGTCTTTTTTTTTTTTTAATTTTATTCATTTCAAACGGGCCGGATCCGGCCCGCGGGCCGTAGTTTGCCCACGGCTGCTCTAGCCTCATGGATGGGAGTGGAGAGGAAAGGTGCTGACAAGTAATTCTGGAAGCGAGTGGAGGAGGTAAGATTACAGAAGGAACTGCACGGAGCCCTGTATTCTACTTAGTAAAGTTGCTTCCCATGGGGGCACAATCCTGAAACCACTATACATAAATACTAGATTGAACAGCTGAGCGAATGCATGGAGGATGGGTGGAGCCAGGCTTCTCGCTGTCGGAAAGGGTGGTAAAGACCAGCAGGGGGCAGGCTGGAAGGAACAGGTGGTGATAGGGCCGAGGAGGAGACATCGGATGAAGCCACGTCTAGCTGGACAGAGCTACAGATACAAAATTGTAGACACGTGTGTGTACACAGGCTAGTGTAAACACATGGCTTTCCCAGCTCTGTCTGCTGAGAGCCTAAAGCAGGGACACCCAGTGCCCAACCCTTGGTTTCTAATATCATTCTACAGTGAAAGGAACAGGGCCCCCTGGGGAAATACCTGCATCTAGGGCAAGGGCAGGAACATACCACATGAGCCTGGAGCATCTTATAGTGTCAGAGAGTAAGGAAGTGCTCACAAAACAACAAAACCCCAAAACTCTGTATTGATGACGGCGAGTCAAAGGGAGGCAGGAGCCAACAGAAAGCTTCCGACGGCCAAAGCTGGAACAATTTGAGCAACAAAATAAATTAAGCTGCATTGGATTGTAGCCCCAAGTTTAAAATAAATGCCACGAGTCCACACTGATGCACATAAGTGACTGAGTGAATGACTGAAGGGGGAGAAGAGATAAACGCCCCACGTGGTCAGTCCCCTGTGTCTTGGCCTGGCTATGGGACTGGAGGCTCCTGGAAGTGGCACCTGTGACGACACCCCACCCAGGAGATGTATTTGTGGACCCGGCTGCATAACAAAATCCCTGCTTCAAAGGAAAGGCATTATGTTGCCACTTCTGAGTCACTCCCATGTTTTGTGCCTTCGGGCCCAGTGGGCCTAGCACACGCGAAGGGCAGTGTGACCGCAGGCAAGACCCCCGGGCCCATTTTCCTAACCCATCAAGTAGAGGCTTCAGTCTGCAAGTGCTCCAAGGGTGTCCCCTCCTGCTCTGAGACCTATGATCCTGACTCATGTGAGAACGGGCTCTGAAAAGCAACACCCTGGTGGGTTCTCTTTGACTCGCCAACCCACAGGAAGTGAAAGGAGAAGAGTCCAAGGCGGAAGTGGACAGGCCCGGGGGGGTGGGGGAGGTGAGGAGAACGGGGAGCTGGAGACCCAGGCACAGGTGTGGCACCAGGGCCAGCAGTGACTTGGCATACATGCAACAGAAGGTCCCCACCCTCTACCTGGAGTGAAACTCCTGCACACCACCCACAGGGTGCTGACGGGACTCTCTGGCTGTGAGGTATTCCGAATGTCAGGTCTAAAACGTGCACGTGCAAGCCTGAAAGGAGCATGTTTCTCATCTTTCTAAGTGGTCGACTGGAGGAACCAGACTTCAAAAAGTACTGTCCATGAGGACACATTTTCAAAACTACAGTTGATGCAAGTATGGAAATTCGAGTGTAGCTGGTCAAATCTACCAATGTCTATTGTGTCATTGATATTAAGTTATAATCTAAGATCAAGACTGATATTAACAACTCAATGTGCAACATTTGATAAGTAAAACTTCCCAATAGGCTTAAAAATAAATTCAATTATGCAAAGCATGACTATGTGTGTGATTACATGTGAAATCCACAGTTTAGCTTTAGCATATCTGACAAATGTGGACCTAGAATTCCCAATTACCTTTTTAAAAATTTAAAATATGTCTATATTTGGAATTGGAGAAGGCTACCTGCTTTTGCTAAATTGTAAGACAAAGTAGATAACTGATTAAGTGCTGGGGACGATTCCTGTCACCAATACCCAGGGAAACTGCAGATGCTTCTAATTCTACCTTTGATCCAGTAACCCTACTTCCAGGAATCTACCCTAACGATATGCTGGAATAATACAACATGGCATATGTACAATTATTTTTAAATTATTTGTAAAACAAAGGACCGCCAATAGGGACTGGCATCAACCATGGCTCATCCCCACAGTGGAGTACTATGCAGCGGTGTAAAAGGAAAGAGGTATTTTTCTTTCTACTTTTATATACATGTGAACATTTTCATAAAACAAAGTTCAAAAACAATCTTTCTTGGTCTCAGAAAAAGTGACTATACCTACTAACCCTTTTCTATAAATCACTAAAGCATTCCTACCTAAACTGGGGAGGGAGTGAGAAAGCAGAAGGAACTGTGGTGTGCTCTGTGCAATAGAAAGCAGAAGTGACTTTCCCTAATAACTGATGGGTAAGGCGAGAGAGAAGGAGAAAGCACAGTTGACGGGAGAGAGGGGAAAAACTGCGCTGTAATTGTGGTTAACCAGGATAAAGAACTAAGTTCATGATTCTTTAATTTAACTCACTGCAAATTTGCTAGTTGTCTCTATCTAATAAGATTTGTGAAGGGACCATAACATAGTCTTTCACACAATTATGTGCTGAATAGGATCTACTGTACTTGGGATACTTTGCCAATCAAATCAGACCTTGAGAAAAGAGCCCTCATTCCCAGTCATATAGTTATGCATTCCTTAAAGATTTGACTTGATTTGCATAATGCGAATTTGAATAACATTGCTAAGAGGTGAGAACAGCAAAGCGGCATGGGTGGCGGAAAGAACCCCCTCATGCGCCCAGTGGCCTTGGGGTCCAGACCCAGATCCCCCCTCACTAGCTGTGTAGCCTGGGGCAGATTATTCCGTCCTGGAGGCTGCTGCCTCCTCCGTGAAATGGGCATGTTAATACCTCCCTCAAAGGATTGTGGGAGGTGAAATGAACTGGTAGACCCAATATCTACTGCAAAGCCCAGCCCCTAGCCGGCTAATGAGTGGTAGCTACGGTGACATTTTAACATCAGGAAAAGTGTCCGCAGCAGAGGCTATACTGTTAAAGATCACCAGCACCGCCAGCAGGGGTGTTTGGTTATATTTATTAAGTCTCTGATCATCAATGAGGCTATTGATAAAAAAAGTCTGCAAAGGTACATGAAAGTTTTACAAAAGGCAAGCTGTCCAATCGCAGCCAAATTAAAATGAGCAACAGGAGCTACTCGCTGGTTAATGTCAACAAAGCCCACGACCCAGATGCTGGGGCAACAACCATATTGCAACCCACATTTTACATGTAAAACCCCACGACGCTCTCCTGGCACTGACAGGGAAGTTAGCCGAGCACGTGTACAATGGATCCGTTATTCATTTAACAAATTTGTGAAGCACGTGAGCCAACTCCAGCCCCGGAAGTCAGTGGAGAGCCTGCTGCTTGCCTCAGAGCAGCAAAGGTCAGATTCGGTGAGAACGGAGTCACTTTTAAACATAAATGTCTTTTGCTTATGAAGGACTATACACCAAAGAACATTCAGAAGCCAACTAAAGTAGAAATGAAAAACATCATACTCCTACCACTGAGGGGAAAACCCGATAAATAACTGTTGGTATAGTTCTTTCAAATGTTTGCATAGATTTGGTCTATGTAGTTGGAATTACACAGTCTATACAGTTTGATATCCTGCTTTTGACTCCTAATATAATACATAATACATGAGCATTTTGCTGTTGTTTCCAATCAGATATTTTTAAAGATACACAGCGTCCAATCAGGAGGTGCCACAGTTTTCTGGCCATGCCCTGCGCTTGCTTCCCCCTATTGTTTCCCATCCAATTCCCCTTGCGCATAATGCCACAATGAACCCCTTTATTCACCAAGTGTTTTCTGTATTTACACTCACAATAGCAACAGATAAAGGGGTCAGTTCATGTCATTCTACCAGCAGTGAGTGCAGCCCCACTGCAACCACAACGCTGAGAAAACCTGAATACTAGCGAGAGTTTTAGAATACATGCCCCGCAAGCGGGTTGATTCTCTCTTCTCTGCTCTATGGTAAGCCAAGTTCAGCAAATCTTCCGTCTGCACGTGGATCCAATGTGGACAAAGCTAACTTTGCAGGCAGACATTCTCTACAGTAAAGACACAGGCGAGGCAACCAGTTCTTAATATTAAAAAAATACATGAAAGGAAAAGGAAAAAGAGA